TGTATTTTTTTTGCAATTTGAAAAAGTATAATCATCTTATCCGAATTTACATAATGTACGATGAGATTCTCTCGCTCTGTCTCGTGGTCTTTGCAAGAATAATTACATACATTTCGATCGTAAATCAACGTTGCCAGCACGACAACTCGACGAATCTGTAGATCGAACGAAACAAGTTTTTTAATGATAAATTAGAGGTAACTAAAAATTGAGTTACATCTAATAGATCCAACGATAGATTAAACTATGTCAATATTTTGTGATTCCTTTTCCGCTATTTTTCTCATAATAAATACATAAACGATACGCATAGCCAACATTAGCCCAGCAACTTTGGCCTAGCAGTGCTCTCCAACGTGTTCGCGCTATTGAATCGATATATACTCGCGATATTACAGATAACAGGAGAATCTACACCATTGAATGTTTCATTTTTACATTTTCCACTTTTGATATCTCCATGCCCTGTCAAGAAATAACAATAAGAAATGAATTCTTTTTGCATTTTAAAAAAGTATGGCCATCTTGTCCGAGTTTACCCCAGTGTGGCCAGAAATCTCGCCCAGTAGCACCGGTAATACGGAAAGGGGATGACGCACACAACAAACGTGCCCGCTCCAAACTAATTTCAGAGTGCACATGTGTGCATTTGTGTGCGTCATCCCCTCTCAATACTACCGGTGCCACAGGGCGAGATTTCTGGCCGTACTGTTTAGCCTGCTACGTATGCGCGATTTTTGCAAGTGACAAGAGCAGTTATCAGTATCGTGTATAAACGTCATTTGCCACCAAGAGATTACTTTTTGAGAGCCTATATACAAGCGCACACATGGCTTCCCCCAGCGAAAGGGTTAAACCCTTCCCGATCCAATTGTAGCAGTGAGCTCAACTGGATAACTCCCACAGGCTCTCCAGGCTCGCGAGAGAGTGCGATTGTAAGTGCAGCTCCGCGGGATAATCGGGAGTGGCCGAGCGGGATCGCGGCCTGTGAGCGTTTTTCCGCGCCGAAGGATGCCTCTCACCGGTCTGTTAGAGGGATGCTCACACATACATCCCCCCTCTCTCTCTCTTTCCCCACCGCGGCTCTTCGCTCGCATTATGATAGGCAGTAATTACGCGCGGCATTAATTAGCCGTTTGATATATGGCTTTAACGTGACGGGAGGAGCGGGGAGTGCCCGCGGCACACGGATCATTAAGTGCACGTACATACGCATCGCCGTACGCCGCATCCATGCGCGTCTATCGCGTAACTCGTAACGTGTTGCAATACCGCCGCGACTCTATATAAGTATGTATGTGTGTTTGAGAAACACAGAAGGGAGAGGGGAGAGAAAGTGTGCGAATGCGCGCTACGAATACGCGCGGGTAAAATTACGAAAATTCACGTTGGAGTGTCGTTCCGCGGGGCTCGAGCCAAGTCAAACAAATCCTTTGGTATGTCGGGCTTCTTTCGTGTTACGCGCCTTATCGGCCGAGGAACTTTCGCGATTTATATCCTACGCCGTGTATACAGCTAAGTAAGTGTTATTCGCGGGCGCAAAAGTGAAAACGACTCGCGCCTCGATTGAAAGTGCTATTTGAAGAGAGAATCTTTGTTGAGTTGTATGCTGAGAGTTTTTATATTGAATGTATATATATTCAATCGTGTATATAAAAATCGTATTTGAAAGTTTTGGGTAAGATTTACCCATCGTATTACAGTGAATAAGTGTTGTCGGATAACACTGTAAATACTTGAAAATGTTCGTAGTAATTTTAAACAAAGATTTTATAATTATATTGAAGTTAATGGATGGTACTTTGAACGTTTAGTAAAATAAACTTCCTTGAAATGGTAAATTTTCAATTTGTCGCATCAAAAATTTCCAAATGCGATTTTTCAAAAAATATTCACTCAAATTTGAAAAAATAAACAAGGTTATGAAGAGAATTAAAATACTTTTGAAATAATATATTATTTGACTCATATATTGAGGGAAAAATTAAAGTCAACAAATATTTCTTTGATGGGTGCTATTAACATATTTATTTAAATCTAAATTCTTTTTATTTAAACCAAATATTGTTTACTTAAATCAGGTAAACAATATTTTATTTAAATAAAAAGAATTTAAAATTTATTTTATTTAAATAAAAAGATTTAAATAAATATATAAATGGCACCCATCAAAGAAATTTTTGGTTTTAAGGTAAATTTTCCCTCAGTGTATTGCTATTTAAGATTTTTTGGGAAGTAGCTACCCAAATTAAGCGGCATATAGTTAAGTTTATTACAGTCCCTTTCAAAACAATATTGTATCAACATTTTTGACAAAAATCAATTGGCTACAAAACAATCGGGAAGGAAAATTAAAACCTGTATATATAAGAGAACTTTTGTTGAATTATATAACACGCTAATAGTAAAAATTACCGCATTTATATCATCGCGACTGATACATATTACACAAATTTTGATAATATATTTAATTTATTATCACACACATTTGGGTTAATCCAAATTTAAAATTTTGATAATACAAACTTTCATAATTCAACTTGTTACCATATATTTTGGTAATTCGCATTTATTTAATAGTAAATAACAATAAAAAGAAAACTTTAAAAAGCTAGATGAAATTTAAAGACTCAAAGTTACACATTTGCGAGAAAACGTAAAGGCTAAAGGAATTCAGTATACCGATAAGGATGCAAAATATATAAACTATGATTTATATAAATTAATAGTAGAAACACAAAAGTTAGTAGTTCCAAACTTATATTTGGATCTTTACTGAGAAACTATCTCTGCGCACAATCTTTTGATGTGCATTCTACTATGATTTTGCAGATATTATGTATTTTTTGCAAATAACTTTTTGACCTTTTAACAGTTCCGTGGTTTGAAGCTCTCAACAATCTCTTATTAATGGTTAATAAAACGTGAAACTATTGAAAGGTCGAAAAGCTACAAAAAATATAAAACATACTATATACGAAGTCATAATAGTGACTTCGTCATTCAAGTGAAAACCAAAAGGTAGTAAAATAGACTTTCATAATTATTACAACGTGCTAACAACAATCGATAATGGAAATTCAACAAATCTATAAATTACATTTTACAATTCTTAAGTTGCATGAACAATACTCTGTTAAAATTAAATTAATATTAAACTTAAAATAGTTAAATTAATTATTAAATTTGCATCATAAAATAATGTACATTTATATTTATATTGATGTAACAATAAATTTGCTAAAAGTTATACAAAATTTTTTATATTACATCTTACATGACATATTGTTTAGAGTAAATTTTGATAACTCTTTTTCGTATTTATATTTCCACGTTCTGATAAATATGAACCATATAAACTATTCATAAGAGACACGATCTTTAAAAATCAATCAGTAAAGTTGTTTCCAAATTTACGAACATCTGCATATCTAGAATACGTTTGAACTAATTTTTGTGCTTATATTATTAACCCTAATTTGGCACACTAAGATCATTTCCTATCTCACCCGATTTTTAATTATCTAGTGCAAACTAATAGGAATAAGATGATTGTCACAATGTGATAATAAGAATCGATCATGCAAATTCAACAAATTATATTTTATGATTTTTAAGTTACATAAAGTGACAATATTGTATTAAATTCGATTCGATATGAGGCGTTAAACCATTAATTTTAATTGCCTGTCACGTAACGAAAAGGCAAAGCTGCTGTTTGGTCGTTTTTTATCCCAGTGTGCCAGAGAGAGAGATTAAAAAAACCTTTAAGTGCAAAATAAAGACGATTTTTCGTTATATATTTTAGTTCTTTATATTAAATATAATAAAATTTATTTAAGTTGCTAGAGCTATATATATTAGAACTTATTTATTTTTGGCTATATTATACAAAATATAACAAAATTTTTGTCAAACTTTAATCATGAACAAAGTAAAGATTTAGATAACAATTTTAAAATAAATAAAATACACATTATAATAAATTAATACTGCAAAATAAATAAATACTACAAAAGTTTAAACTATTAATGATTTTATTTACCTTTTGATTAAAAAAATAACATTTTTATACACCGAAATAATTATAATTTTTGATAATTGAAATATGTAATATTTCTTTACTTCAAGTATTGAGATAAAAAATTCTTAGAGTAATAATTTCTTAAATTATATTTCTTTACTTCAAGTATTGAGATAAAAAATTCTTAGAGTAATAATTTCTTAAATTTATTTTCAGAAAAAATTTAAAATTTTAGTAAAGCTTAAAATGTAAGATTTTTGTATTTACAATAATAATTAACAATCATTTCAAGAAAATAACTTAAAAGTAACGACTTTTTGAGTAACTGTAATTGTAACAAGTTATTTTTCATAGCCAGTAATTTGTAACTGTAACTAGTTACATTTTCAGCAAGGGGAACTGTAACTGTAATTAGTTACATTTAAAAAATAACTTTCCCAACCCTGGTTACAACAATATATTAAGATCGCATATCTTTTTAACCCGATGATGCAGAATTTCTGGTAGTTTGACATTTCTTCCCCAACATTGCAAATATATTCTAACCAGAACAGACTAAAACGTGGTTTTCTGCTAACAAATGCTAATATCTTCCAGAATATTTTTCAAAAAATTATATTGACATTATTCGGAACAGACTAGAACGTGGTTCTTCTGTTAACGAATGTTAACATCTCTCAAAAATAACTTTTCAAAGGATTGCCTATAAAGAACGATACCTCTTCCGCGAGATAAGCGGATTCTCCACGTTACTACGACGCAGTTGACGATCGTTGCCCACGCGATAAAACACGAAACGCACCCGAAGATTCCGAAGGAGGGAAATTAAAACCTACGCCGCTAATCCCCGCGGAAATCCTCGCGTTTTTACCGCCCGCCCGCTCGTACGCTTGCGAGACATTTTTCACGCCCTCGCCTTCGTCCTTTTCCCTACCCCCTCCTCCCCCCTTCCCCCCTCCTCCGCCCTCCTCTTCCTCCCGATCTCTGCCGCTCCGCGCGCCTTTTTCTTCCTCTCGCCTCGTTCATCCTTCGTGAAGCGCCGCGAGAGCTGTAAACAACTTGGCTGCCCTCCTGGAAACATCCCCATAAAGTATGTTTTATCTATCGTAAATCGATGGAGCGGCGTATTTCACCGGCGCGCTGTTATACAATGCGGCTCAATTAATGCCAAACCGTTGCCCTGATTTATTTCTTAACTCGGCCGCGCCGCCGACGCGGCTACATCGCGATAATCGGCCGCGCCGTATACGGTATATGCGATCGACCGTATACACCGTTGCTCGTTTAAGGAGCATGGTAATTCTTCGGTTTACGCGGTAAACAGTTTAAATCGCGCCGCTGAGGCGCGTCGTCGTCGTCGTCGTTGTCGTCGTCGTCGGCGTCGTCGAAGCGCCTCTGTCCGCGCATCGATCGTTCTCGATGATGAACGCACGCTAATATCCCCGACACGTCGTTCCTGGTCCTTCCTCGATCGCGCGCGCAACCGAACACTCGGATAACTCCACCGATAGCGTAATATCGTTCCCTTTCTCTCGTTTTTTTTTCCTCTACTTAGTGTTATATCTTTCACTTATCGGGATCGCGTGTACAAAGTTTGCCTTCAAAGGTCCTCTTACACTCGTCCGTTCCGTATCCCGCGCCGTGCCGTGCACGTCCGCGCACGGATGCTAATCGACGTTCCATAATATTAGGCGGAAGTGTTCCCACCTTTCCGGATACGGGCGCTTCCATTTAATCTTGTGGAATATATGTAGTATTCGCATGCACATTACACATATGATATGCAAAACGTACATGTACACTGAAAAAGGTTGGGTAATCAAGCGGTAAATAGTAAATAACGTTTTAATAATCAAGCCTGGACAATAAGCACCACCCAGTCAACATAATGTCTAAAATCGGGACATAAGACGTCTTAAAGATCATCTTTAAGACGTCTTTCAGACGAAATTTACGTATAAATGTCTTTAAGGAGTCTTAAAGATTATCTTTAAAACGTCTTATGTCCCGATTTTAGACATTATGTTGTCTGGGCAGATTTTGATAAAATAGTTTGAATAAAATATAGTTTTAACTGTAAACGTGTAGATGAATATAACTAAATCATTTGATAAGTATTAACAAATAATCTTAGCAAGTCTTAATATTTATTGTTAAGGCTTGATGATCGTTGCTAATTTATGTAGTATATATTATCAAGTAATTTGTTAAACAAAACCATATTTTTTAGTAATATTTATTACATTGTATGGTAAATATATGAAGTTAATAAATATTTTGATAACAATCAAACTGTTTAATAATTATTATCAAATTATTTGTGAAACCAATTAATTAATTTAAGCAAATGAAAAATTTATTTTACTACTTATTTTATAATTATTATCAGATGTTTGCTAATTATTACTATATTTCATACTATATTTATACCAAATATTGCACTGAAACGCTCAACCAAATGCATTTATTAACTGTTGCAAGACTTTTATTTCGGTATAAAAGAATTTTTAATGTTCTTTTTCTCCTTTATATTTGGCTATTTTATACTTGTACGTATTTGCGAGAAAAAATATCTAAAGAATATCTAAAGAATAAAAAGTATTTGGTGGATACAAATAACATATTGTGAATTATATATTCTTAAATCCAGAGGATTTAAAAATAATCTACGTACGCGATCACTTCCAAGAAGCGACAACGTCGAGCTCGTGTTGTAGAAGCCGATGCGAGCGATAAGGAAGCTCACTCTGATTAGGCGCTCTCGCGTGCTGATTAAACGTGTGAGAAATTCGGCCAATAGGGATGACATTCCTATTGTATAAGTAGTGAGAGCGAAGTGCAGGTACACACTGTTTTTCGACAGTCACATCGTGATACAGTTGTAAGAATCCGAATGTAGAAATAACACGATAATACATTATGTCGACAGTATAGAGTATAAGATTGTATTCGAGCTTCATCAGAATTCAACAGATATAAGAATATCAAACATAAGAAATGTGTTAACATAATAAATACAAATGCGAGATGCTAGAGAAGACAAACAGAATACGAGAATCAAACCAATTGTTCTCGTGGATCAACGTTCCCGTTCGCGTACGGAGAGTTAGAGAAAGAGAGAGAGGGAGAGAGGGGGGAAGAGGAGAGGCGAAGAGAGAGAGAAAGAGAATAAAGAGCACATATGTGAGTCTGATCTAAAGATATACACAGAAAAGGAGGGAAGGGGAGGGGATAAAGCAAAGGAGGTTTAGCTACACATTTTTTTGGCAACTGAACAGCAGAAACAATAAGTAAGAAAATATTATTGTTCAATAATATTGTTCAATAAATTTAAGGATTTATATTACTAATTAATTAGATCTCCCTGTTCTTAAGTATATCTTTGAGTGCCTAAAGTACCTTAAACTTCAGTGATCAGATCCAAGCTTACAAAGAGAGTTCTCGCTGTAAACGAACGAGCATGTGACATAACTCAGACAAATCACAAATTACTAAAAGATATCTTAAAGATGTTTTAAAAAAATAGGTCATTCTTTGGACCTTTTTAAGAGATCTTTTGTAGATTGTCTGAGAAGTGACTTATTAGTTTTTATTTCCTATCTTTTCCCATAATAGTTAATAAATAAATAAACGTGACAAAATCATAAGAAAAAGTAGATTAAAGAAGGTTGCATTATATCAAGGCTACTTATTGACTCTCAAGGGAAAAGAATAGAGAGAATTTTCGGAGCATTTAAAATTAAGCATAAGCGATCTGAAATGTTCTTTCATATAAACATCTTTTTATTTGCAAATAGCACGTAAGAACTTTTAGGATGTGTCTTCTCGCTTTTGACGTCGTCAATCCACGATACAGCAGCAATGGAATCATACAGAGAGAACGATTTGGTTGAATTAAATAAACACTTCTTTGGAATACCCTTATAGAAATATCATACTAAGAATCATTGATAATTACTTATTTTCAGTATTAAAAATACTGAATAATAAGTAATTATCAATGATTCTTAGTATGATATTTCTATAAGGGTAGTCCAAACGAATTTTTTGATTGACCGGACAAAATTTTGTTTGACGCAAAAATATTTATTTGCAGCTTAATTTCAAAGAAATATTTTTGTTATGCCAATTAAATGTAATTAAATAATTTGTTTGGACTCTTCCAAAGAAACATTTATTTGATTCAATAAATCGTTCTCTCTGTGCAGAAACGTTGCCTTCTGCAGTCTGAATTATTTTTGTCTTCCCTTCTATAAACAGATCCTTAGAAAGAAATTTTTACCGCAACTATATCGTGCAGTTTGCATTTATTCCGCTTTATCCGATATAACGTATTAAATATACATACATAACATGTATAAAACTACAATACAAGTAATTAAGTATAATTGGGACAAAATCGTCACTAACCGAATTACTATCAAGAGTAACTTATTTCGACACTTTTAGTCGAATTCTGGTCACTTTCCCACCGATTTGGACGGACAAAAATGCTACATCGTACTCAGCGAGCCAAAAAACGTAAGATTACGCGTGTAACTTACGTTACACCTTAGGCCGAAATTGGCTCATTTTATTTATTGTCCTTTCGACTCGGGATTGACCGGCAAGCGGAAGATCTCGGATTCGATTCCCGGCCCGGCAAACTCCAGCGATATTTTTCTTTTTCGCTCTTACAGATCGGAAACGTGCACGCGCCTCGCCAGCCGATTCTCTCTTTCGGACACGCTTCTTGCGTCGTCGCTGGTCGCCCGGCGGTTCTCGCGCCGCGACCAAGCCAGAAGACAAGAAGGCGGCCGCAGCTAACGCGTCTGCGAAATTTGAACCGCGAAATGCGCGAGCGGCAAGAACGCGAGGACCCGCGTCCCGCCCGCCCACCGGCGGCTTCGTGGTATCCGACGAACAATGAGACGATACTTGGAAAGGACCGGTACTCCTTCAATGGCGAAGAGACCGCGGCTCCCGACGTTGGCATTAGTTTCCATTATTTCAGCCATTGTCTCGCGCGCACCCCCCGCGTCCTCGCAGCTTCCGGTGATCGCTCGCGACGCGTAAGACGATGACGACGACGACGACGACGACGACGACGACGACGACGACGACTCGGAAGTCTTTGAGCTTCTCGGAAAGCCGAGCTGTGCAAAGATAACCGAATACGCGGCCATCGCGCTGTCGACTTTAGTGAATTTAAGCCGGCGCTCGCTAAAACCAGCTTAAAACTCGTGAGCGCGAGCAGAAATTCGTATTATAAGAAATTTGGTCATTACAGGGAAAGGAACGTATTAGGGCTTTCTGTAATAAACCGTTAGTCATCTCTCTCTCTCTCTCTCTCTCTCTCTCTCTCTCTCTCTCTCTCTCT